TCTATCTATCTATCTATCTATCTATCTATCTATCTATCTATCTATCTATCTATCTATCATCTATCTATCTATCTATCTATCTATCTATCTATCTATCTATCTATCTATCTATCTATCTATCTATCCATCCATCCATCTATCTATCTACAAAGAAGGGAAAGCGACAAAAATGTTTGTGCCAGATTAGTAAGATGAACAATAAAGTGCATCCAGTGGTGTCGCTACAGGGAGGCAAGTTCCCCCCTGGGTTATTCCTTGCCCCCCCCCGTGTGCCCTCCTCCCCTAACAGTGTCGCATCCGAATAACGTTGTGGGACCTGATTGGGACCTGTGCACCCGCTGCTTGTTCGGTGTGGCTGGCCATATAGATAATGGTATTGTGTATTGCTGTATAATGATTTGCTGGATTTGTAGTCTTCTATAGCTGGTGGTATTCTGCATTGCTGGCTTTGTAGTCTTCTATAGGTAGTGGTATTCTGTATTGCTGTATAATATATTGCTGGGATTTGTAGTGCTGTATAATGTATTGTTGGGATTTATAGTCCTCTATACAGTGGCAGAACTACCAGGGTTACATAGTTGCAGCTGCAACTGGGCCCTTGAATTCTGCCACTTGGGGGGACGGGGATATTGTGATAAAAATTATTAGTTGCCCCCCCCCCCAGTTTTGGCTGTGGTATCTTATATGCCCCCCCCTATATATTGTTCCTAAAGTCGCCACTGTATGCATCATCAGCCAGTGTACCTGGTCCCCGGTGCTGGCCTGGATAATCCTGGGGTAATTATTGATGGAAAAGCAGGTATACTTCCTGTAAAGCATTTGTTGCTGCACTAGGGACCCAAAGAAAACGAGGACCTATCTTTGAAGTAGTGAGGAAGAGCATGCATGTCCAGAGCTGTCATGGAGTAGGATAGCCAAGCTTTCTGCTCTGTAGAGGAGTCAAGTGCATAACTGTTCAGAAGGTACAGTGGCAGCTATGTCAGCAACAAGGTTAATGATGGTTGTGATGTCAGAAAAATATGGCTGGAATAAATAGAATAGTGAGTTATGGAATATGGCAAGAATAACAAAGTAGGAGGAAAGATGCTTTGAAAAAGGACTTTACTGGGAGTCTCCAGCCATGCTCCTGACACTGACAAGGATGGAATCGGTCAAGTGGTGCCATGACAATCAAGTGTGCATGTGTGGGACAACAGTGGTGGTTCCTGAAGAGGGCCCCAAATCATTGCTTAGCCTTTCATAGCTTATGTCCACCTTGCATTTTAACATCAGCTGATACATACATACAGAGTTATTCACAAAAGGGAGAAGAGTTTGGAGAAGGCAGGAGAAGTGAACAATCTAGGACTACATAGCTGAACTGGAAAGTGAGCTGAACTGGAGAATTTTTCCAAATCAGCTATTTTGTCCTAGATTGTTCACTTCTCCTGCCTTCTCCAAACCCTTCACCCTTTTGTGAATAACCCTGGTAGTTACATAGTCAAGTAAAAAAAAAAGACACAAGTCCATCAAGTTTAACCGATAGAGATTGGAAAAGATACAGAATGTAAATCTGTAAAGATAAATTCGTAATCTCTAACAGGGTTATTTACTGAAGGGTAACGAGTTTGTAGCTTGAAGGAGGCAGGAAAAGTGAACAATCTAGGACAACATAGCTGAACTGGAAAACAAGCTGAACTGGAAATGTAAAAGGAAAGTCACTGCAGACTATCAGGGCTATTCACAAAAGGTTGAAGAGTTTGGAGAAGGCAGGAGAAATGAACAATCTAGGACAACATAGCTGATTTGGAATTATTCTCTAATTCAGCTCACTTTCCGGTTCAGCTATGTTGTCCTAGATTGTTCCCTTCTCCTGCCTTCTTCAAGCTCTTCACCCTTTTGCGAATAACCCTGTAAGTTTCTATATCTACCAAGTCTGATCTATCTAGGAATTCCATGATTGGATTGCTTATACATAGATGTCCTAAGATCTACTTATCTCTACAAACACACATTCTTCTCTGACATGTTATTTTATGAGTTTTGGTCCTTTCACAATTTTCAGTGACAAATCTAATTTGTTAATGTTCATGTTTCCTGATCATTGAAGCCATTCTAATCATTTATGGGAATGGCATTGCTGTCTGCCTTGGAATGGCTTTTTAACCTCAATGTGCAGATTGTTAAAGACAGACGAGAATAAAGGATAAACAGTTCAACATGGTAAACACTGTTCACTCATGAAGTCTGATGCCTTACAAATAAAAGATGTGACTGTTCAAATTTACTGATCTTTTGTTTAGATGCTTCAATAGCCCTTATCATCCCTCAAAATATTACATATAAAAATGTTATTTCACATTAATTTATTCAGTAGCCCAGTAGCCTAATTTGCAAAATTCCATGGTATACAATTGAGAATGGGGGATTATATTGTACTTTTATACAGAAACGTTACTGGTCACTGCCGAGTTATATCTGTACATTCAATGAAAAGATCATTTGAAAGGGTGGTAGAAAGTATTATTTACTTTTTTAAATGCTTAAATAGATGGGTATGTTTTTGTTAATCATTTTATATAGAGAAGGTATTTAAATACAGCTACCATACTCAGTGGTATCCCCCCCACGTCATGTTTAAGACTTTTTGCGTAACCTGTCAGTCGCTGGACACAGCGCACATGCTGTATCCAGTGTTTGACAGATTGCGCTAGATTGCAGATTGCAAAGCCCACCTGAGACCCTGCAGAGCCCTCCATAGATCCCTCACAGCCAACTTAAGACCGTGCAGAGCCCACCATAGATCCTGTAGAACCTACCTGAGAGCCCACACCGCCCACCACAGATCCTGCACATCCCACCTGAGGCCCTACAGATCCCAACATAGACCCTGCACAGCCCACCACAGATCCTGCACAGCTAACCTGAGACCCCGGAGAGCCCACCATAGACCCTGCAGAGCCCACCATAGACCCCGCAGAACCCACCACAGATCCTGCACAGCTCACCTGAGACCCTGCACAACTCACCTGAGATTCTCAGATGGGCTGTGCAGAATCTATGGTGGGCTTTGCAGGGTCCCTTTGCCTGCACACGTGTGCTCCTCTTACCTACAGCTCTATATTCTTTATTATTAGTAGGCTTTGGTACACTTTGGTATTCTTCAGTGCTATACAATGTAATAAACATGGGATATGGTACAATAAAATACATGCTAAAAGACAAAGGTAACTCTCAGTGCATGTCTGGAAATAACATTTAAAAATTAGAATGTTATCATTGTTTAAAAGTCCACTAACAGTATTTCTCCAAAGCACATAATTATGCTCTGCATCTGATGATGAGGCAGCAATTACAATTAGAAGATTAAGGAGACATATGACAGTTTCTAATTGTATGTTATTACTGCATGATTTCTAACCTTATCTAGCCTTTACCATTATTGCGTTTGAATGTGCTTAATGCATAATGTTACTGTTATGCAGGTTTGTTTTATTCTGTATTTTCCAAACTAACTTTGCTGAATTCACATGCCTTCCTATACAATTCACATGCCGTATTACTCCATAGCTAAACAAAAATCACTAAAAATATAAAAAAAGTATTGTCTTAAGAAACAAAGTTGTAATTAAAGAAAATGTTGTCAGATGCTGTTGACTTTAAAGGAGTAGTATATAGTTATCTCCAATGGGCTGCCAAGTAACAATTTTGCTTTGTTTTTCCAATGATAGCATTGCATATATCCACTCTTTACTGCTGTGTTTGTGGAGTTTTGGGGTACTAGCCTCTGTTCTAAGTATGTGTAGAGGCACATCAGGGGTACCAAATACTATATATATAGTAGTGTTCATAGGTGTTACAGCTCCTACCACTGGGCTCAATCCAGCCCCCTGGCCTGGAGTTCAGTTCTAGCCGTGGCTCTGAACTATTTGTGGTCAATCAATAAATTATTTTTTGTACTTCACTATGACTGACCTGTGCTAAATGATGTGCTAAAGGGAAAGTGTTATGGTTTAAAGTCCACCTGTTCCCAGACTATGGACATTCAATTATTTACATGAATTCAACAAATAGTAAAAGAGCTTAAAAACTCACTTACCTTTCTAGATGCCATTAATGTGAAGTTATTCATCAACGATCACAAGAGAGACTCTAAAGTCACTTTTAGTTGGTTTCTAATGGCTCAGAAACACCTACTGCGTGTTTACAGTCGAAGGCTGGCATGAAGATTCTAATGCTTGTGTTGTGAACATTACAGTTTACAGTAAACCTAATTTTAAAGGTTAATATTGATGTATATATATATACAGTATTACGTTTTTATATATTTTTTTTTTTATATATTTTTTATTTCATTATCACTATATAATATTTGTTGTACAAATAAACATAAAATACAAAGCAATGACTTTTCAGAGCACTGTAGGTTATCTAAAAAGACACCACAGTTGAGAGGCTTACTTTGCAGTTCTGTTTAGCCAGTAGAATCCTCAGACTCTGATAAGAAAGCTATCACTGCTGTGACGATTCATTCCAATACTGTAAACAATGGACTTTCTTTAGCATAGATGAAATCTAAGCATGATAATACTGGAGAAAGGGGACTAGAGCTCCATCTGCTGGCTGAATAGAAGACTACATATTATTAATATGCAATCAATTAGAGAATATTGAATTCATTCAAAAATCAATTAGATACCATCCTAAAAGACCGTAACATACAGGGGTATGGGTACAGTTAAATACCAGACCACACAGGGACTCTGTACACGCACGCACGCACAACACACACACAGGTTGAACTTAATGGATCTGTGTCTTTTTTCAACCTCAAATACTATGTAACTATGTAATAGTTTCCTGACAAAAAATAATAACAAATATCAAAACTTTTTTTAGTGCTGTCCATAATAAAAAAGGCATGTACACATCTATACAAACCACCATACTTTCCCTTAAACTGCAAGTACTGTAGTACAAAACTTAAAATGTGTTTTGCCTGACATTGTTTTTTTTTGTAGGTGTTGAGTGGGGTTTACTGTACCCAGAAGCTAATGGACAGTACCAATCTCCAATCAATATAAATTCGAGAGAAGCTTTATATGATCCTTCTTTACTAGAAGTTCGACTATCTCCAAATTATGTTGTCTGTCGGGACTGTGAAGTGATTAATGATGGTCGGGTTGTCCAGATACTGCTAAAGTCAAAATCAGGTAGGATTCGGAAATACCTCATCAAAACAGTATAAACATTTATACTGTTGTTTAACTCTTGCTTTTATAACACTGTTTTGTTTATCAGTCTCAACCTTTAACATGATATCCTTAATCAAATATTTTGCCAAAAACAAAATTTGTATACAGAAATGAGTGTACAAACAGTGGGCAATGATTCCAAATGGGTCTCTTTTATGATTATAATCTTTGCTGAATTCATTAAAATGGGAAACCACATTCTAGCCTCAGAGCACTGACAAACTGGGTGCATAGTATAAAAGACACTGATCCACTTGGAAGTTAAGGTGTTGGAAGCATTTTTCATGAATTCAGTTGAATTTAGGGGGCTTTTTTTCATGAAAAAGTGATCCCTTTCCTACCCATATTACCAACAATTTACAAGAACTTGTATAGAATTCTCATTTAGATTTGGTAGAGTGTAGTTTTTAGTAGCAATTTGACCTGTGTATGACTAGCCTTAGTCTACATAACAACAATGGTTCTGCTAATGGCAGCGGATCAGGTATTTCACTGTATTGTGTAATCTACAGCTAAAGTAAACCTTATTGCTAGTTATAGGAAAGGTCTGAGCAACCAATCATTAGCATTGCCTGTGGATAGATTTTTCCCTGCACCCCTCTCAGTTCCAGCAGCAGAATGTAAAGGGAGTTTTCCAGTGGGTCTTTTCATTCATATTTAAGTCAAGGAAAGGATGTATAATAACCTAATGTAAGTTTTTTTTAGCTCTGCTAATGCTATGCTGAGCTAGTGCCTTTAGTGCTGAGTCATTGGCCTGTTATGAAGATCAGGAGTTCTGACTTCCCTCTGACTTTATACATAGCTATTCCACGTAAGTGACTCAGAAAGCATTGGAGACAGTGTGGCGAATTTACTAAAGGAGTAGAGCATGTTCACTTTGCATAGTGACTGTTGACTTTGCTTAGTGAATGAGGTGAAGCGGTGCTGACTTCAATCATCCAATCACATGCAACCAACAATTTTTTATTTTCCTTCCATGTGATTAGGTATTCCTTGCTTCGAAAGTGAAAACTTACCATCCATCTTAAAGTGTATGTAATCCCAAAAACAATTGTATTTTATTTTTTAAATAAAAAATATTGCAGTTTACCAATCCTTAAATGTGGTGGCTTTTTTCTTTTTCTTTTCATCTGTTGATTTGGACAATAACACACTTCCTGTCTTAAGCTGGCCATACACCTATAGATTATCTGCAGATTTTCTATGGTCAGATGGAAAACGTGCAACAGATTCCTTCATCTACGTAAAACTATGTGAATGGAGGAATCTCCTGCTGGGCCAAGCTTCAGCATCTTGCTAGTCGGCTCCACTGGCTGTCCAAATGCATGAACAATCTGATTGGATGCAAGATACTGAAGCTTGGCCTAATGGGAGATTCCTCCATCCACACAGTTTAGCATAAATCGGAGAATCTGTTGCACTTTTCCCATCTGACCATAGGCTGATAGAAAAAAATCTATAGAAAATCTATAGGTGTATGGCCAGCTTTAGGCTGGGTTCACACCTGGGCGTATTTTTTCTGCTCTTTTTTCAGCTCGTTTTTTTTGCGTTTTTTAGCACGTTTTTCCGTTCAGTGAAACACGCGTTTCACTGGCGGTATTATTTATTTATTTTTTCCTTATTTTCTCTATTTACATATTTTTTTCACTTTCAAACTTCCCGCCGACTTTGCCCCCCTGCGTTGCCACTCGCAAGGGACGTAACCCGGAAGTCGGCAGCCGCCGGAGGACACAGCGGGGATCGCGGACAAGGTAAGACCTGTACGCTGTATTCCCGGGTGTGGCTCGGGGTTACCGCTTTGTTAACCCCAATCCACACTCGGGAATACCAACAGAAACACGCGGAAAAACACCCCAAAGAAGCTCCTGTACTTTTTTGGGCGTAGGGCGTTTTTCAGCATGTTCCAATGCGCTGAAATACGCCCAGACGGGAACCATGCCCATAGGAAAGTATGGGATTTCACTTGCTGGGGGTTTTACAGCACGTCGATCAGTGTTGTAAAACGCCCAGGTGTGAGCCAGGCCTTAGAGTGACTCCAGTCTATGTTTGAGCAATGGAGCCACCCTTAAACAGCAGTATTGTCACCCTGTGGAGCGGATAGTGTTAGATGCAGATGTAGATGGAATTGACTAACAAATTAAAACCGAACTCCAGTTAACACATTATAAGAAATAATAAGATAACGTTTTTTTTATAAATAGGTAAAAGTTGTAAGCAATCCTGTCAGTGGTAAATGGTTTGTTTCAACCCTCTATCTCCCCAGTTTTGCTGGACAGCTTGGTCTGCTAAAGGAAGTTGAAAAATAAACAGACTTAGTGGCCGAATCACCAAGTTAAAATAAAAGAAAAAAGCCTAAAAGACAGAAATCTAATGTAGCAACTACATTGAAGGATTGTTAAGCTGCAATATGTTAAATGTTTGATTTTAGATTTAGATATGCTCAAATCAGGGACAGAGACAGCCAAAAGGCGGTCAGAACTAGCAGTTGCTTTATTTTTCTCAACACAGCTTTTCTTTAACACAGCTTGGTCATGTACACAAAAATGTAGCAGATGTGATGTACAGAGTAGCTCTTCATATAGTTTGGCAGTGAAGACAAGCTAGTCCATGCCATACTTGTTTAGCTGTTGCAAAACAGTTATGCCTTGGATGCCTTTCCAAAAATCCTTAGGGCTGCATTCATGTTACTGAAATAATACTAATAGGGGACACTTAAATTTGTATTGTAGCATGCCCTTAATAGGCTGGCATATATATAGAGGAAAATGTTTTCCATTTATTTGCTTCACATTCTTCTATCAAAGGCATTGAAAGAAAATATTAAGGCCCAGCAGCAAAGTCCAGCTTTATCAGTTGGATGAATAGAATGTCTAGTTAGTATGCACAGCAACAGTCTGGCAGCACTAAACACTCCTTTATTGTGTTACCAAAATCCAAGGTGCGTGCCAGCTGAAACATTTCTTCCATGATTTCAAGGCTTTTTAAACCAGCAGTAATATACATTTAGCTTTACCTGTGGTAGACTTGAAAAAGTAAGCTTAAACTATCTAGGACCCCATTTAACCTATAAATCTTGCATGCAAGCTTTCTAAAAACAATCTGCTAGTACATTTGGATTGAAAATGAAATTAATACATGGCAGATCAGTACGCCTGTCACCAAACTCACTGTTTAAACAGCCTCCTATAGATAATGTATAGATTTGCTTAAGTTTTCCAGTTCATTTACTTTAGACAGCAACCAGTCTGGGTAGAAAAGCCTCTCCGTTGCCAGCATACTGCAGAGAAGGACCCTTGCTCTCTATATGGAAGCAATGGTCTCTCACTGCAAATGTCTGAAACTCCTCCCAGCTAGGTCAGACCGTTAGATTTGCAATCAGCAAAGTTCACACTGCCTACTGATTTGAGAGCACCCGAAATGTATTAACCACTTCAGGACCATAGGATGTACTTGTACGCCCTGATCTTGAAGTGGTTATACCAAGAACCTGGCTGTTGCAGCCGTGATCTTGGTATCAGATCTTAAGAGCAAGTGGAGGGCTTTAGAGCAAAAGTGATCTGGGTGGCTGTAGAGCTGCCCGATCACTTGTACCTGACTGTGACTGTGCAAGCAGTGAACATACGTTTCCTGATCTGCTCTATGATCACTGAAGCAGGAAGTTCTGCGCTCCCAGCTTCCTGTTTCAGGGGGGTCAGAAGCCATGCTGAACTTCTGGATAAACAGACAATTAAGCACAATCCTATGCTGAATCATCTGCATTGAAGGGCAGGGAAGACATTAGGGGTAAGAGAACCTGTCACCTGCCAAAGCTAACACATAGGGGCTTGTTAGCCTCCTTGTGACAGCAATAAAGTTAAATGTAAAAAAAAATGAAAAAAGTGTTAAAAAGCAAAGAATAATAAAATAAATAACAATAAAAAATCAAAGCAAA